CAATCCACACAGCTCAGCAGAGTGTATGCGTCCGCATAAATTGCTTGTGATTCCCGGAACGCAAGTTGTGTGAAGGGCATTTTTGCAAGACACTATTACACCAAACTATCTGGAGCACACTCCAACGCCATCACTCAGGATCACACGGCAAGGAAGGCCAGTCAGTCACTCATTCATTATGGGTAGTCACGGTCGTTCATGCAGCAGTCCGCTTGCTTCGGGCGTCGAAGCAACAGCCCGTACTGGCGGGCGCGATGAGCCATCAGGCCGTCCACGCCGCTCATCACGGTACTGTTCCGCACAAGCACTTTTGCAAGCCCCGTCGCGACACTGAGCCGCGGCAATGGATGTGCGGCACTCAATGAACGGAAAGAAGACACTGGCCAGGGACGGCTTGTAAGCCGAGGCGTGCGCAGACGCCAGCGCACTCCGAGTCGAGCTGCGCCTGCAGCGTATCGAGGTGGTCGCACTGCAAGCACTGGCACACCTCGTAGGCCCTTCGGCCGCCGCACACCAAGTCAGGGGCAGCAGCGGCAGCAGCACCGCCATCGGGGCGACGGGCAGCAGCCGGTCTGGCAGGTAGCGACGGCGGTCCGGGCGGCAGCCAGCTGGCGTTGGCGGGGCACACCAGCTACGCCAGCTCGGTGGGCCCCCCGCGCGGCGTTGGTGAAACAGGACAGGACAGCTACCGCTGACCATCGTCGAACTAGGCCGACTAGAACCAAACAGGCCAGCGGTGCATCTGGTGATCATGCTCCTGCAAACAGACGCACGCCGACCGTTGGAAGCTCACAAGATCACAGACTGCCCCAAACCTCAGCACAGCTTTCTAAACATGCATGTTTTTCTTTTTTTTCTTTTTCAATTCTTTTTCGGTTCAAATACAGAACGGTTGGTTCATTGCCAGTGCCGTGAGTCAAGGGCCTTTGCGTATGTACAAAGCAGAGAAAAAAATACACAGGACCGGGAGGTACAACAGTTTCAAAATAGCTGGTTCAATTCCTCGTTCCCGTGCAATGGCCAGTAGTGCACAATGCATTTTTATGAGGAATTGTCCAGCCTTACGTATATCTGGAAGAACTGTGGCAGCATCTGAGTGACCTTCACATGTTTGCTGTCTTTCCTTGGTGCCCTGTTTATGGGTCATATTCATTCATGTAAAATGTCTTATTCCAAGGCATCATTGATTCTTTACTCAATGCAAAAGGCCAACAAGGCTTTGCATGCAGATGGCATGTGAGGCCTTAGAACTGTGATAGTCTTAAAAGGTACCACATATCAAGGGGATGTTTACTGTTGTAGAAAGCCGTAGGGTGGAATGATCAGTAGCTGCAAATATGTGATCAAAATTGGCGTCACGTCACAGCTGCCACAGCAAAAAAAAAGTCAATACATGCACAGAGCAGAGGCAAAACAGTTTTAAAATTAGCCCAGACTAGGCATCACTTACCAGAAGGATCTTTCTTTTCACATCAAAGGAATGTCAACCCCTTGAAAATACTAGCTCATCATGATGTTAGTTACACTTCTTTTTTACAGCCAATACTTATCACTGGCCTAGATCTTTGGAAGTGACATTGGATGCATGCAGTAGTTTCCGAAATTAATGTAGATTTGAGGATGTATAAATGGATGATTACTTAGGATTGCCTGGACATAGGTAGTTCAAAATCGCGTTTTTACTTTATAAAGGAAAACCTTCCCACTTAACAAAAATAGTGATTACCATGGTACAACTGGCAAGTTACATCTCAGAGCCAACCAGATCATTTTAAAGCCTACGCTTTTGATGAGTACCATGGTACAACTGGCAAGTTACATCTCAGAGCCAACCAGATCATTTTAAAGCCTACGCTTTTGATGCAGAGTATGTGGCAGAATCATGTGATATTGACAAAAGTAAGCATATGCACCAATGACATGCTTTAAGAAAGTGTCAGGTGGCGGCTAAATTACAGAGGGGATGAGATGACCTGGGAATAATATTTTGAAAGGGAAAGCACGACTAGCATGCATCCATGCGTAACTTGGTGCAGACAAAATGACAGTTGAGAATTCGAGATCCCCACTCCATTCCACCAGTAGTTACACAAATGGCAATGGAGATCTTGCTCTCGCATGAGAGTCACAGTGAGATTGACCCAACGTTTTGACAAACCAAACTAAACAGATCAGAACAGAAACAGAAACAGAAACAGAACATAAAGCACAGATCGGAAAGAGCTACTTAAATACTGCTGTCCGTGACACAAGTTCAATCATCTTCTGATAATACAAATATTTTGCTGTTACAATTGAAGAATAGTTCAAGTCTATCTGACTAACTTGTTAGTCGTTATTGGTGTGCTCTTCAGCAGCCCGGCTATGACAAAAATGCGAAGGCCCCCGTGCACATTCACCGCGAGCACGCTAATCCGCTATTTACGCCGGAAAAACGTCGACAGTGCGCCAGATTTGAGCCACTGTCAAATTTTCTCAGTGATATCAGCTGTTTTGATATTTTCACAAAACTATCAAAATGCTCTCGCGACCCGAGGAAATTAAATCTAGCTGCACCCATGTTATCGGCATTGATCTTTGAAAGCTCTTCGCTAATTGGTCAGGTTTAGTTTCGGCTGCCAGGATGATGGATGCTGGAAGCTGCTTGAGTACGAGGATTAAGCAGCAAAAGCGCCACATGTAGGGCGACGCAGGCTATTACTTTGCCGCTGTTGGTGTTGTGGTGTGTCGTAGTATTGCTTAAGTTGTAGATGAGAATATAAAATCGGCATGGATTTCCCAGAAATCAGGTAAGGTTTTTATAATAAGTACTTCAATGCGAGAACAGAACGCTGCGCAGCTTGACTCGAGAGCACTGCGTTACTGGCAACGTGGATGCACAAAAATTGAAAACCCTACAACTGGCCAGCTTTGGTGCCAATCTGGCAACATTTTCAATTTTCTGTGCAAACAGGGCCATTGTCTGCTAAATTGGGGGCCCGGGGCGGCTGGCAGCGCGTGCAGAGGCCCTGCCGGGAGAGGGGGCGGAGCGGTGGTGAGCCATAGAGCCCCGACACTCCAATGCGTCAGAAGAAAGAGTGGTGGCAGTCGTACCGAACTGTGGAGAAAACGGACACTCCGAAGGCATGGCCGGCTCAGCGTCTACCGCCTGTTTTGTAATGCAGGCGACTGCTTTGGTCATCGACTAGGAAATCTTCACGCCGATTAGATAGCGAGTGAAACCGCATCACGGGACATACTAATCATTGGACCCTTGTCCCCGCGGTTATAAATCGGGCATTATTTACAGTAACAAGGTTGTTGTGCATGCACGTGCGTGGTGCCTTATGTTTTTCGGTCGTACATAGTGCTTTGGCGGCCGCCCGTGGTGCGTAATGAACTTTTCGCTACTGGCAAAGTTCTTCTCTTGAAAGGAATGCTCTACACTTGAAGGCACTGAAGCAGGCATCAGACATGATAAAAACCCTCACTTATAACTATTGGTATACTTTTAAGTGAAAAAGATTGCTCTACACAACACAATTTCTGTGTGTAGTAGATATGCTTCTCAATATGCCCTCGCTTGTCATCGTACCCTGCACGGCACTGATGGAGAGCCAACTGACGTCTGTCATATCTGGATATCGTGCTCACGAACGCCAGATATGAACGGCGATTATTTTTCTTGGCCTTGATTCCCGCGTGGCTAATGCAATGACAGGATATGAATGACGCTATTACGGCGCCATAGATGCCTGCGCGAAGTTAAAACAGTCTCTCCGAAATAGTCCACGCATCTTCGCGAGTGTATTGCTTAGAAAATAAGATGTGTCGTAAGAAGGGCAGGGCTGTGAACTGCACGGAGTGATCAAGGCGGCCATTTCGGTTCAAAACCCCATGCAAATTTGGAGCCCTTTAACTCGCTATCAAGTAAGGGCCCCACACACAAGTCGAAAGCAAAAAGGATCTTGCCGCAACATGCTGTTGGGGAGACGTTAGGTGATCCAAGGCACTAAGGTGGCCTGTGTCAGCGTCAGCGTCACTATTTTGGGTCTTCCTGTAAAGTGAACGAGGGTAGCGTCGTGTCAGGACAGGCCGTGTTGTTCGTTCAGCGTTGCACGTCTAACTCCGCGCTTCGTTGAGGGCTAATGCCGGCGTGCCGCGTCATTCGTACCGGGGGTTATGACACCTGGCACCAAAAATAATGCTCAGGCGGACGTAGCTCGCTACACACTCGGGATGCACCTGCGTCGAAATGTGAATACATTCGGGACAGGATGGTGAGCACCACGTAGTGGACATGCAGCGCTGTTGCTTACTGGCGAAATGGAAATGGGTTAAGTACCAAGAATGAGCCACCTTTGCAAAAATTCGGGCATGTTCCTCTCCTCCACGAGCAGTCTTGATGCCTGAGCACCAGCTTTAATCTCCCTGATGAGAATAATTATTGCGACACCACGAATGATCCTCGTTCCCTTGTGACGACTGCCATTGGCTGAGCGATCGTGCGAAATGCCACCTGACGCGTGCGTTATCGGGATCTGTGCGCAGTGGCAAATGCAGCGCTCAACGCTGGCAGAACGCTAAAATGCAAATTAACCTATAGAGCTTGAACTGATGTTTGGAGGTATGCAAAGCCGCAACTTCTCCGCCAGTGCCACCATGCACTGAGTGTGCCCGACCCGCTGCCACTGCCTGCACGCACTGCTGCCTCATACTGGGATGGGCACACTACTCTCCTTTGATTCCTTGCCGATTTGGATCGCTTCGCGAATGCTCTTTCAGCTGTTCTTGCATGTGTAGCCAGATCCGAAGGCTCCCGACCAGGGTCACGCAGCAGGTGCGACCTCGCCTTTTGCGCTTCTCGCCGCACGCACACCTGAGCCTCACCATGCACATGTGGTCACGCGCTGATTCATAACCCAGCCACAGCCAGCCCACCGAATCAGACTGTGGTCTGCCCGTGGCGTGCCATCCGGGACTGTGGTCTGCCCGTGGCGAGCACCGCATCACTGCCGAACATGGCCGCGGCTCATCTGCTCCTGCTGCTGGCGGCGTCGGCCGCCGGACGCCACCTGGACGCCGACGACGTTGGCCTGGGTGCCGGGGGTGACGGGGCGTACCCCGAGGAGCTCAACCCGACGCTGACCGACGGCGGCCTGACCCTGATCGAGTCGGACATCGTGCTTCCGGAGGGCGTTGACCGGCGGGCGCTCATGGCCAAGCGGTGGCCGCTGGGCGAGGCGGTGCCGTTCGTGGTGACGCCGGAGGTGGAGCAGCGGCGCACCAACATCGAGGCCGGCATCAGTCACATAGAGGACGTCACCTGCGTGACGTTCCGGGAGGAGCCTGTCGAGTTCGCCGGGGCGCCACATCTGCGTTTCATCAACGGCAGTGGCTGCTACTCGTTCCTCGGCCAGATGCAAAACAAACTCAGCGGTCAGTCCGTCTCGATCGGCAAAGGCTGCGCCGCACTGGTGACGGTGGCGCACGAGATCAGCCATGCGCTCGGCTTCTTCCACGAACAGTCGCGACCCGACCGTGACCAGTACGTCGAGGTTTTGTGGGACAACATCAAGCAGGGCAAAGAGGCCAACTTCAGGATTAAGGAGAACGCCGAAACGCTCGGCGTCAAGTACGACTTCCGCTCTATCATGCACTACGCTAAGTTCGCCTTCTCCACTACGGGCATGCCGACGCTTCGTTCGGTGGACCCTCTGCAGGGGCACTTGGTGGGACGGCGCATAGGAGAGATGACCCACCGCGACCGCGCCATCACCAACATCGCGTACCAATGCGCCAACCACTGCACCGAGCCGCCCGCCTGCCAGAATGAAGGCTACGTGGACAAGTTCTGCCAGTGCGTTTGCCCAGAGGGTGTGGAAGGCGCGCTTTGTGAGAACGTGCCGGATGACTACAGCTACTACGGCCCGGTGTGCGGCGACGCCGACATCACGACGCCCGGCGTGATCACCTCCCCCGGCTACCCCGACTCCATGGAGAAGGACCGCCACTGCTACTGGCTGGTGACGGCGCCGAGCGGCTTCGCCGTCCGCCTCACAGTCACCGACGTCTCGATGAACGACTCCCCGAACTGCAAGCGCGATCGTATGTCGATCCGGGTGGAGGGAGACCTGCGCGACGAGATCGAGTCCGATTGCAACACGCGCCTCACCGGCCGCTCCTTCGTCTCGGTCGGCAACCGGCTGCTGGTGTACTTCCGCACCCGCGGCCGTTCCAGTCGCGGCCGACGCTTCAGCGGGTCGGTCGAGTTCGTGCCGGACGTGTAGATCGCGGGGCGCAAAGCAGGCTGCGGACGGGGAGACGGGCGCTTCATTCAAGAAAGTGGCAGTGGGTGATCCTAGCCGAATCGACACCACTGTCTTGCAGGCAGCTGCTTTGCTGATCTTGCTTACGAATACGGCGTGCCCTGTTTGGCATTCATCTGATTTTTTTAGTTGGTTCGTTGATGTTTGTGTTTTTATTGAGTTACGCCAACTATCAGGCACTACTCCAAACATCAACGGCCAGAAAATCTGGTACACAAACATGATCATACCATTCTCATGAGTGGTGTGAAGGGAATCGTTCGATTTTGGGGTATGTAGGTGTGGCCTACTTTTTTGTATCTGCTTCAAACACACGACATTCGGGTGTGCCATAGTTTGTTATCATTGCGCTGAGGTGTCGTTGCTGGTAAACATCAACCATGTTCCTTCACCCTCACCGGTATCTCCTGTTTCCGGATAGTGTTTTTATCTGCCTTTGTTGCTCAATTAAAAGGCATTAAGCATGGATTACATGCACGTAGAAACACACTTTTTCTGCTACGCGTAACGGTATGGGAGAAGGTAACTCTACACGACCTATGGTGAGCATATTTCTTGCCTGATCACCGTCCCGTCAAAAAAAAAAAACATGAGCCAGATGAAGGCCATGCGCAGTTTTTTCGTAAAACTCTGACCAAACAAGTTCCAAAACTTTGTCAAATATTATTTTCATATTCACCTCACAGATGCACGTCAACGTCTTATTTGATCTGAAAATGACTCGTTAACATTGAAACAGACTCAATTTGGATCCCGATGCTGTCTTCAACAAGTTTATTTTCAAACCTATTTAGTGATGAGCTTTGTTAGAAATATTTTCCTGCCAAAAACTTTAAAAATGTGTTTACCTCATCTTTTTGCGTCGCACTGCAAAATAAACTGTGCGTTTTCCGGTTCTGTAACACTTGTCTTCATTTACCGTTGTTGCGCAGTTATAGTGCTTCAAATGTTGCTAAAATCTCGAAAAATTAGGAATTCAAGTATTTAAAGATGTCAAGATACTATTTCAGCTAAAAGTTATCCAGTGGGCAGAGCACTTGCACGCTAATTGTGTATAGAAAATGTAAAATTTGAACAAAAAAATCATCAGAATTTGGATTTGAATTTTATGTTATTTACATAATGCGTCTGGATTTGGATTTTTCTGCCGATTCTATTTGAGCTTGCACGTGGATATCCGTCATGGTAAAGTCGAACATTTAAGTGGCGCTTCGCGTAAACTACCGTGCTCCAAACACAGCTAATTTTAATAGGATCGTGAGGATATCGTTTATATGGTTACAATTCACAACCTTTATGTGAAAAAGCCTTGCGGAATGGAAAGCACTTAGAAGCATCTTACGAATATTTTTTTAAGCAGAATTTTTTCCTCCATCATCGTTTTTCTTATGTTGATTTTTTAAGCCAATTATTTTCAGTGCCAAGTTTAGGATTTTTGCACCCTCATAACTCGACGGCCATTCGTCACGCAACAAAACTGCAAACATTTTCTTGTTGGTCACGAAAACACATTGGGTGTTCCAATTTTAATATTTTCATATATTTTCTAAGGTGGTTAGTTTAACAGCCACTGCTTCCAGCGTTTCACCAGTACGGTTCTTAGATCTTTCCAGCTGGGAGAACGGAAGCTATTAATTTTTGAATATTCATCAAAATACTGATTCATTCTTCGCGTGGTACTCCTTAAACGTACCGTGAAACAAAAGTTTTCGTGTCTCAAGTTTGAAGACATAAAAATAAGCAATTTTTGAAAGCTTTCTTTTCACCACTCGATGCTCATTGCAAGTTCTGAGCGTGCCAAGCATCTTTTTTTCAAATCTGACCCATCATAACCTTGCCCTGTTCTTTACCCACTCTTTCCCCAGTATCCTTTTTGTGACTATTGAATGACTTGGAGTTGATATTATGGGATTGACGATAACAATGTGCATAGAATGTTATGCCTTAAACGTTGCAAAGCAATGCTCTTCTAGCTTTGGAAGATAGACAAATTCCCAAAATCAGCGAAAAATACTTCTCCCTTTTTGCACGTTTTTCACTGGATAGCGAATGTCCATATTCGTGTTCAGCGTAGTTTTTCACCAGCACGCTTGAAGTTAACTCCTTGACACTCGGGAGTTCAAAATATCGTGGTGTCGTAGAGGTGGCATTGAAATCGCTGTTAAGAACATGTTTTTGCTTTTAAACTCGGCCAATTCTTGAGACGTTTTTAAACTTAAGCCATGGTCAAAAGAGCAGAAAGCCCGTCAGTTCTTATAATCTAAGCATTTTCGTAGAAAGTTCTTTCCAACGCCGTTTTCATGTTGAACACAGGAAAATGACCATTTCTGTACGATGTGAAAATTTGGTACCTGATATAAAACAAATCCTGAGTTAAAGAGCGTTTTAAGTCTGCAGCAGTGCAGCCCGTCAAAATATACATCTACTGTGTGCCGGAACAATAAAATTTAAGTGATTTAAGTGATTTAAGAACAGTTATGCGTTACTTCCTTCGGACCAAAATTGACGCTTTCCTCTATAACTCAACACAGATACTGATCAGGAATCCGGACCGCTTTCGTTCTATATACAAGTTTCAGGAATGTCAGATTTGGGCTTTAAAAGCTTATTATCATCTTGGAAACACCTGTTGCAAATTTCTGAGCCTAAACAGGTGCGGAAAAACGACCTTGACTCGTTGGAAAGCTGATCGTGGGCCGTAGAATCATGTCTAGATTCAAAATTGGTGTCAGGTATTAGTATATATCTTTGAGTTTTACATCTCTGGCTGCCTTCATTAAAAGCCCCCATTTCAGTCATAGTTCCATACTTAGCCTTGGATCGGCTAATCCTAACTGGTTTTACCTTCTGTCCCAAGCAATTTCCATATCCTTACGGTTTGACCATGGTTAAACGATGACGTCACGGCCGTCAGCTCTTGGAATCTTAGATATTCGGCAGATGCGCTAATGTTTATATTTTGAATTAAACGTAAAAAATTGGTACTTTCCGGTGTTCAGGTACACCGGTACGATTTTTGGGTCATTGTCCCAGTCTCGGTCACTGAATCTCAATAAATCAGGCACGAATCAATGTGCACTGAATTGCTGAACAGGATAGCGTTGTTGAAAGCCATATAGAACGGCTGCTTTGAATGGTATAAGCCAATATAAAAAAGATTTTTTGCCTGGTTTTCCAAAACTACTTCTCAAAAACTGCGTTTATATACACCAACCAGTGTGCCATGCACGCATGCGTCTAAAACAGTCTTTGGTTTTAGTGTCTGAGCTTGCTTCTCTTTCAAAAAGCAACAAAAACTAAAAATTTTGGTAAAACGGACAATTTGAAGGCAATTTGAATTTCTTGAATGAAGGTCGTCAATTCATGTCGTCACAATCGAAGGTGACGAATGCCTGTTTCTACATGCAGTGGCAGGATAGTCGATGTCCCCAACACTTCCGTTGCCATGTGTAAGCACACATTTTGAATACAGCCTAATATTCGACCGCTTTATTTCTGGGCCTCATTTAGGAAAGGGCATGCATGGTCCAAAACGGGCCCGATCATTGTTTTGTAGATGCGTATGAGGGTGGCTCTATCTGCGCCACATTCTCGGTATGCCAGGCACTTTAAAATGGATATCCGCCTTAACGTCCTTGCCTCGGTGTACTCGACCTGTTTGTTCAAGTGAGTCTGAAGCCCAATATTAAATCCGTAATCTGTGGTACGCTTGACATCGGTGACGTGCCACTGATGACCATGATGCAATCGTACGATGGCGGCGTAGAATCGCTTTGTGACAACAAAACCTGGCAGCATCTGGCAGTGAGACTTAAAGAATGCCTCGAAACGTACGAAAGCTGGCGTCAGCCGGCCATTCTCGTTGCGGGCGCTGAGTGGGGTGGCGGGATGGTGGATGGCTTGTTTATGGATTTGTTTTGTCTTGGTACTGGTCGTACGAAAAGCTTTGGTAGGCTGTTTGTCATATGCAGCACGGCGATCGCCAGCTTTTATGGCAGATTAAGCACGATATGCTGTGAACACTGTCATAAAATGTCACAAATCTCACGGGAACCTGCCAAGGACTGTTGAGGATGTCAGTTCTGTATTGTCGACCTATCCTTGCCTGCAGTGCTGTAGTCCTGACGTTGATACCTTGTGATGTGCACAAGAGCCACTTTGTGTGTGTAACTGGAAATGCAGTCACATGCAAAAATTAGCAGTGAATATGTAACGCTGGTATGAAATGATTGCCAAAGCATTGCTTTTGCTATGGTGAAGATGGTAACATTGAGCTACCAAGAATGTTGTTTTTTGCTCAGGATTATTTATGCAAGCGATAGGCAACTCCGATATAATCATTGTGGTGCCACAACATTCTAACTGGCGATAGTCCTTTAGCAGTGCTAAATCAGTTGCTACCAGTCGTTCGTGAATTATAAACTATTATCTCACATGCTTGGATAGAGTAGTCAGCCAATGTGGTGCATTGTGTAAGGGCACAGGTCAACAGTGTCATTGTGGCACTACCACAGTGCTGTACTGTGGCGTGGCGTATTGGACAATGATACGGCTTCCGTACTGCAGTCTCGGCTGCTACCATTATACATTCCATCATGAGAAGATGGGTCAAGCGTGCATTTTTGTATTTGCTCTGCATCCGACATGCGACTGACCAAAAACACATAATACAACATATAAATCACTTTCAGCAAAGCACAAAACCAATAAGTGGCATCACTTGCTCGGCCCGTTCTGTGAATCCACAAAACATAGGTCACAAAGACGCAAACATGTCTTCTGCTCCCACAGCCACGCGGCATGCTGCAACCGCCAGCCTGCTTCACTCAGAAGTGTTATTCATACAAGTGACAACATACGCATAAAAACGAAATATTACATGCCGTGAAATGACAGTGAAAACGTGATGACCTCGCGCGAAGCTGGACACAGAACAAGTGCGTGTAGTTAGATGGGCGAAA